ATACCCAACATCATCAACACAATATATACTGTTAGGAGAAGCAACAACAAGAGCAACAAGAAGATTGATTCATTGTGTGCATCATGGATGGGAATCCGACTTATACTCGGAATTATAATCCGACATACGTCGGATTATAATAATAATAGTAATAGATTGATGCACCATGATCCACTGTCCTCTAACCAAGATATCCTTCTTACCCCACTAACTTCATCATCATCATCATGCATTGGTCGGAGTCGGTAGTCTCAACTAGCGGCGCTTCTATCATCCAGTCTCCTAGTTGAACTAGGACACCTTAGAGCGGCATGACGCTATCGACTAACAACGGCTTGGACACTATACCCCATGATATATCCTTCCGGTTATCCATCATCCTTACATACTATCACTGCGGTTGTTCTCCAACAACCGATAAAAACGACGATCTTTCCATCCATACCTTTCGGAGATTCATTACCTCACCTCCTTCACCATAATGTCACCAAAATGGATGATGCCTTTCACTAGGCAGCTAAAATTCTTTTCAAACAATAAATCCTACATTAATACCTGTATTAGGTATACTAAACACAATGCCATGATTAAGACAAGGAAAGACGACGACCACCATCATATTACAACACTACAGTGTTGAGTATTGTATCTATTAAGACATATCTCTAGTCCAACATATATACCTTAACCCAGCTGCATCATCATCATCATTGAACATCATACTATCCTCTATTATTGACCATAACATCATTGAATAGTACCCTCTACCATCATCTACCTTACTACTACTATCACCATCATCATACTGATACTCTTTATAATCGAATATACGATTATTAAACCAACCCTCTCGTCCTTGTTCTCTTCCTCCTATAGCATCCATAAACCCCAAAGCATCCCTACCCACATCAGCTGCCCCCGACTTGATAATGCATTGTGATATGTATGCAACAACCTCATGAAGGGATGCCTCCTCCAACCAATCATCATCATCAGTATCAATACTTACTATACCTTCTAGTTTAGTATACATACTATATAGTAGTTTACCAGCTACACCAGCACTGAGTAGCAAGTCTGGTGGTGGATGTAGTAATAGTAAACTGTAAACCAATGGTATATTAGTTGATATGTTACTAGGTGATAATGATGTTATTATCAAATATAACAGGCTTTGTAGTAGTAGCTTATCGGGTGTATCAACATCATCATCACTTGGGGGGGATGATGACGCTGTTACTACTACTAAGAGTAGCTTAGTAAAATGCAATAACTTCTGGCAAGCATACCTAAATGATAGTATGAAAGTGTGTACATTCTTATCTTCCTCCTCTTCTACTACTACTTACCAATGTAAATGTGTAATAGTATGTTTAGCCAGATTATGTAGAGTTGCAGCTATAGTTATGGTTAGGAACTCATTCCTACTACTACCCATCTTGCTATTATTACTCTCAGCATAGTTACATCGAGCTACTCTAATTAATACTAATACCAATATTGATGATACATCTATAACAACAACAATGATGATGATAATGATACTACTACTTACTCAAACGATCTCTTATCGTCTCTTTACCATTACTATCATCATCTAGACTTTGGAGTAAACCATCTAGAAGTAGATAAACAACTAGTACTACTACTCAGTACTACACCCTACATTGTATCTTGTAGTTAGCAATATCATCATCATTATTATCTATCCAACAGTGGGATGCATTAATAGAGCATCCCTCTTGTCGCACCAAGAGTAGGAGTATGACCACCTTTAGAGCCAATAGCTGGGATGCATCATATTGCTGCTGTATACCACCACTATCACCTCCTCCAGCCGATCGACCCTTTATCATAGTAGTATGCTCATATCTACTATGATACTACTATGATGCTATGACTGTTGAGTAAGTCATCATTACATGGACTTGATGAGTGGTAGAAGAGTTTGAGTAGAATCAGTCCTAGCTTGTAATGATGCTAATGCTGTAGGTGAACGTATAATGAGGGTATATCTAAAGGGTATATCCATATGATGATGCTCACCTGAAATGATAGTATTGTTATTACAAGGTTATCATGGATAGAG